AAAAGATTAATAATTTCAAAATTTCAAATGCTCTCGTTCTTCTGTTTATCGTCATCGCGTTATTTTGATAGGTTGTTACTTGCTAGTCACGATTCAATCAAATAAAGGACAGTAAAAATTTCATTTAAAATAATAGTTTACCGTACTGAACTTCATCAACTGGAAATTATTTTACAAAACTTTATGCATGGATAAGTGTTGGAAAATTCAGATCCTAACTGTTTCGGTTAGAATTTGTTCGATGCAACATTCGATAATTATGTAACTGATATGTTGAAATTTATACAGTTATAACACATATTTCCCAAAAATATTTTTTATAAGCTAATTAATTAATTTATTAATAGGTTTATTAATAAATATATATATATATATATATATATATATATATATATATATATATCCAAGGTCTCACTACATAAACATAATAATCACGAATGTATAATATATATAACAGTACACTAATTAATTTTAATTTTAATTACAAACAATTGATTAACTCAACAACTGTGATTGATTTACTACTTACCAGTCATTTATTTGAGAAAAAAATTTCAACACTAGTTATTCTCTCTGCTCCATGTCATCTTAGGAGTCATTCTCATCCTTTATTCAAAGTCACTCTTTGACGAGTCTAATGATGTTGGAAGATCGGCAACTGAAGTTGCGAGGTACCAGTTGGGCATCTCGTTAATGTGTATTGCCGGTGTTTGGTTTTTTTTCGATTTAACAGCAGCTTGTCTCTTTTCTTTTCCGCGTTCTCGTTGCTTCTGCATGGCCGCATTTGTTAGTTTTTCCTTTTCACGATTTCTTCTGTACATTGTACGGTGTGCTGAGTTGCTGTGGAATGCGATTGTGGCTATTTTATTCAAGACAAAATTTTTTAAATTGACATAAGCCCATTATTAAAATTTTATTCTTTGTTTCATTTAATTATCAAAATAGTGTGGCATGTGGAGCTTCATTGTACCCCTGGTATTCAGTAGTAGTGTGATGCTATTCATGCTAAGCTATCATACAAGTGGATTGGTTAGTTACTTTCATTAATTTAAATTAGGTTGAAAAATATTCAAAAATTAAAATAAATGGAACAATCAACAGCTGATAAACTCCGTGGAATCGTCGGCTATTAATTCTTATAAAGAATACACAATCAACCCAGGTTGGTATGGTGTCGAACTTTGTAGCACTCGTGAACTCAGTTACGCTGTTGTGTTATGTTATTTCGTACTGTCGTGTTGTGTTATGTTGTTATGTTCTGTTGCGCTATGCTAATGTGCTGTTTGTTACGCTGAATAATATGCTTTTTCATTAAGACAATTCTCACTTTAGTATTACTCAGAGATATCAGCGACAAACACGCAGTGCATGCAAATGCATGGTAATCAATGCATCCCACACGTTGCACGGGATGGACGGGGGCATCTCTATCTTTGCATTCAAACCAGATTACTGCAGCAGCTGGACCAGGCACTTTAACCATTATACCATCCTACCGCCTCCTGCCATTTTTATATATGGTGTTTGGCGCTAAAGCACGATAGTTTCATCCAATTTTTATTATACCAACGGGAGAATGGAATCGTATGAGGGAGATAAAGGGAGAGAAACAAAGAGAGGAACGAAACTGAACAAAAAATTTAACTAATGTTTACATTTTTTAAAGAAACTTTCGACAAGAACGGTGCTATATATTTCCCAAATATTAAAAGTTCTGTATGGTTCAACTTTCAAACAAAAGTCAGTTCAGTAGTTTTTGAAATTTTTATTTAAAAATATTTACACATAGTATATTTCTAAAATTATTTCTGAAATTTCATTAAATATTATTATTATATTATTATTTAATTTTACCCTCAAAAAAAATAGAAATATTTAAAAAGTAAAATAGCATTAATAATGTCTTTACTTGAAGCACCGATGTTGTGGAGTTACTCACAAGGAACTCGCTTCCTCCAACCACTCCGTCGTCGTCACACCTTCTTGTTGCCAACTCATCAACCAGCAACTGATCAAGGTCCCCAGCATGAAATTCAAAAAAATTCATTACACCAACCTCGAAGCTTGCTTGCAATCATCCTATCCACCAAGTTTATCGAGCTACACAAATGTTCAGGTCTAGCAAGTTATTTAACATTTTCTGAAAATTAACTTTTTTGCAAAACTTAGTAATTAAAAATAGACGTTTATAAATTTTTTGGAAACTCATGGGCGTTCATCATTGCAAAGTTTTATAATTTTGCCTTTCTTAGAAATAAAATTAATGTTTATTTTTATTTTATTATTTTCAAAAGAAAAAAAATCCTTGATTAAAAATTTCCTAAATTTGTTACCAGTCGATTCAATAAGCTTAGATGATCTTTTATTCAGCTATTTAAATGTCACATGATTTTTTGGCAAAAATTGTTTGAGTCTTTATTATTGCAGCTCAGACATACGCAGAACCACTTACAATGTTACAGATATATTGATATTATCTATTTTTATTATGTTCTTCATATTTTCACCCATTGATTTGAAGCAGCCATCTTCGCCACAAAGGCTTTTTATCCTTTTCACACGACGTACACATGTACTTATGTGCACGTGCAAGCACCGCATCATATACGATGAGTATATGATAGCCATTGAGATGTTTGACTCAGCGCGCATTTGAACCACTGAACCATCTCGCCGGCCAACATGCGACAACTTACGTCGTCTCCTCATTTACCGACCTCGGAAGAATGGGTGGCTGAGTTGGCCGGGATCGGCTACCCGGATGAACCTGCAGAAACATCAGGATTTGAACCAGAGTCGTTGGAGTAGTAGATGGACAGGACACGCTAACCAATCGGCCACGAGGCCATAAAATTGCACTGGGCACTTAATAAATTTTATCATTAATGATGTTTGCTTCTTCAAACAAAACATATTATTGTTTTTATTGAAAATAATTGTTTTACATTGTCAAATTAATAAATACCTATTTATTTAATTATTTTTGTAAAAAGGACTGCAACGAGAATTTGCTCGGAAACTTCCTGGAAGAAACTCGTCTTGAGATGATCACAATTACTGTTTCCAGCATTGCGGTGAGTTACACGTTGATTCTTTCATCTAAAACATTCAATAAAAACAACAACGTGAACGTCACACATTCATTATAATATATTAACCTAATATATTAACAATTATAATAGTATTACAATGTGCACAGGGACCTTTGAATAGCGTGTCAATAACGATTTAATGAAAAATAGAATAGTTACACAAGCACACTCCAGTCAACGTTCGACATCAAATACGCTACAGTTGTTTAGCTCCTCCTATCAAACCAATCACACTCATTTACAATTAGTTTGTAAAGCACTATGCGATGTTTAACAGCGCTCCTAAGTGAACTTTGCAAACAGATGGGTCTTGTCTTGAGATCCCCTCTGAACTTTGTATGTGATGAAGTAGTAGTCAGAGAAAGAGGTGGAGAGTTCTAAAGAAAAGGGCCAGAAAAAACAAACGCAGATTTAACAAAGTGTGTTTAACATGAGTTAAGAAGTGAGAGCAAGAAGACGATCGTTAACCGGGGCGTTTAGGTTCAATTAATATACCTGATAAGTACTTAGGAAATAGTTTTGATTGAGATCTAATGTGTAAATTTAAAAAATTTCTGTGTTTTATAGGCAGCCAGTGCAAGTGAACAAGATATGGAAATATATGAGAAAAGAAAGGAACACGCGCAATTAAACGGGCAGCAATGTTAAAAGGATAGAGATGCGAGTGGCAATAGTCAGTCCTAGATAAAACTAAAGAAGTAACAAGAAGGAGAGTAGGATCGTCAAGAAAAGGCAAATTTTCTTTATTCTACATAGATAAAAGAACTTCTAACAACACTATCAAACACGGGCATTACGGAATCAACACGATTTAACAACAACCACAACTAAAATATTAATAAAACGATATTGATAATGAGAATAAAAAAGTATTCGTAAGAACCACACATCACGAATTGCATATGACAGGCGGAGCTCTCTTTAGAAATTGCCAACATCTCGTATTATTCAGAAACATTTGTTCTTAATGTTTTAATTTTTTAAATTTGATTTTTAATTTCTGGAATTCGATATATTCAAAAAAATTCATTTAACGACAGGGAGGTTTTGTATATGCGGTGGTAGCAGTCGTTGCAATGGCTCTTCGAGATAAATCAGACGGAATGTACGATGTGAATGCCTGATTTCATTCCAGTCGCCAATTTTCGATTATATATTTTTTTGCATCAAAACTTTCCATATAGTGAAGTTATTGTATTTATTTGTTATAATTGCATTTATCATAGAAATGACATTTCAATAAATGTTATCTCACATCAGTTTTTGGATAAAACAATATTTAATTTATCCTTTAAGATATGAAATGTGACTACTCTCTTCTGAGTGACTATTTAATTTATTGAAGCATGATTTTAAAGCCAAATATACAGTTTTTATTTTGTGCAGAAGCTAACATAAAGTAAACGCAACACTACATTAAATAAATAAAATATTAACAACCTATTATTTAATTAAACGCACATAAAAATGGGGTTTATTTTTAATTAAAAATAAAAGAGCATCCATCTAATAGTGGCGCATATTAAACTCAATTGTTATATCGGCAATTAAATAGAAAATAATGATGTTTCTTTAAAAGCTTATCATATTCAGTCACCTACAACTGGGATGGGCATACGACGGCCCGTGAAGCTATTTTTATGCGGCCCGCGAGCTTGAACTTAATAATGATAGCAGTTTTACAAAAAATACCATGAAAAATGCACATGTTTTAACGGTTTTTGTAAAGGTTATTAAAAATAATATTGAATTATCTTTGTTTGAAACTAATGTTTATTTTTAAATTTTTACCGTGTAAAATTGAACTTATATTAGATTTTAATTTAGCTTTTATATTGTTTTAGTAAAATTCAAAAAAAAATCATATAATTTCTAACATTTAATTTTGACTTAAAAAAATTTAAAAAGATGAGTACAGGAATCTATGGAGGAGGTTAACCTTTTTACTTTATGAACTTAACTTTTAACTTTTATTAGTAATGGAAGTAAATTTTTTAAAATTGAGCCCCTGGTCAGTGTAAAATTATAAAAATTAATATTTTTTTGAAGATGAAGTTGGTGCAGTTGTGCTTGACATTGGATCTCACACAACCAGAGGTGGATTTGCTGGAGAGGACATGCCAAAAGTAAACAAATAAATTTAATGATAATTTTTTAATTAATCTTAATGTGTAATTTATTTATTTATTGAATTTGTAGGCTGATTTCAAGACAACAGTTGGTGTTCTGGCCGATGCAGAAGACATCACAGATGGGTCAACTAGAAAGAAATATTGCATTGATACTGTAAATATCAAAGTGCCAAGAAATTCTATGGAAATGGTCAACTTCGTTCAGGATTGCATGAGTAATGCTTATCAAATGTTTATAATTTAATAAACATATTTATGAATTTGAATTTAAAGGGATTCAATATTTTTTTTGTTCACAGTTGAAGACTGGGACACATTTGAAAAAGTGTTTGAATATTTTTACAAAAGTTACATCAAATCATCTGCAGACCAACATCCTCTTCTCATGTCCGAAGCACCTGTACTGTCAACAATTACACATTTTTGCTTTTATCAAAATTTTTTTTTAAAAAAGTGTTTATCATGAACATTATCAAATTTAATATCTTTTTAACTTCAGTTTATTTTGAATGAAAAATTATTTTTTCTGCCAGTGGAATATTTCGTCAAAACGAGAGAAGTTAACTGAAATAATGTTCGAAAAGTATTCAGTTCCTGCATTTTATTTATGCAAAAATCCTGTACTTTCAGCGTTGGTCATTTTTTTAGAAATTACATAGTACAAAATTTTATCCAAATTTCTATATATAAAAATGAAATATGAAAATACTTGAAAGATTTGCAAGTGGCAGATCGACAGCATTAATATTGGACAGTGGAGCATCTCACACAACTGCCGTACCAGTTTATGATGGATATGTTATTCAACAAGGTTTTTGAATTATTTTTTATTTGCATTATTTAAAATTTAATAATATATTGGCATAAAGATTATTTTGACAGCATTTTAATTAATCTTGATTTTTAAGCTGTTACCAAAACTAGTCTTGGGGGTAACTTCTTGATTGAAGAGTGTAAAAACTATTTTCAGCATGAGAATATTGACATTATTCCTCAGTACTTGGTGGCATCGAAGGTAGGTAGCTTGCATGTTTTCTAAACACACAAAAGTTACATTCATTCTTCAAGTATATTTTGTATATATTTGCATTTGTTTTTTAACAGTTTGCAGTGCCTGAAAATGCTCTTTCGCAATATATCAAGAAGAATGTTTCTGTTCATCCATCATTCCACAGTTTCAGTGTGAACGAAACAATAGAAGATTTTATCCAGTCAGTCATTCAATGCTCGGACAACAATTACGAGGAAGAAATAGAATCAATGGAAGCAACCGGGCCAGTTCATCATGAATTTCCTGATGGATTCAACAGAAAGTTTGGTCTTGAAAGATTCAGAATAGCTGAAAGTTTATTCGACACAAATTACATTAGAGTCTGTATTCGTGCTGCTCAAATTATTTTTGTTTTAATCATTCTGTTACAAATATACAATCACACAGAGTCATTCAAATCCTCTAGTACAAAGTGTCAGCCAAATAATCAGTTCAGCCATTGCCAAAGTTGATATCGACATGAGACCTGTTTGTTTTCATTTTTGTTTTGTTGATTTAAATTCCCATTTGACATTTCCGTTTTATTTTGCAAAGATTTCAAGCTCTCAAGCTAATGTTGTCCACAATGATTCACACAACTTTACAATTTTTTAAGATTTTCTAGTTCATTTAAGTTGTGTAATTATTTAAAGTAAGTGTACTGTACATCAACAATACACGTAATGTAGGTCATTGAATCTCCTCACTTATCATTCTGTTGAACCATAATTTTTCGTGCACTCATCATTTTGCTGCTGGTACAATGTGTTATTAAAAAGCAACACCACCACCACCACGCCAGAGTATGTACAACGGCATAATAGTTGTGGGCAGCAACTCTCTCTTGAATGGTTTCTCTGACAGGTTGATGACGGATCTCGCCAATAAACTTCCCGCTGTGAGTATCTCAATTTATTAATTTAAATAGAACTTATTTTTATTAATACCTCAATATCGAACCCACCCGAACCTAATTTTTGCTCGAACAAATTTAATATTTTTTCATGTGAGAAAGTAGAGAGCAGAGTATAGAACATCACGTGTCAACATGACAAAAAGACATATATACGAAAAGAAGGCTATTATATAAACAAGCTAATGCTTTAGCCCTACCGAAATAAATTGTCTACTAAGTGCGAAAACTTCCCTTGAAGTTTTAGATTCAAACTAGCCTAATAATATCTGAAGGTTTAAAAGTGAAAAAATGATAACCAATCGTTGTAGTTGTTCAAACACACTCCAGTATTATGCCGTGACTATTTCTTTATGTTATAAAAATCGAATGCAGAGCACAAAGTTAAAGGTGAATGCGTCGCAAATAAACGTTGAAAGAAGATTCAGCTCATGGATTGGTGGATCAATACTGGCCTCGCTGGTTGTTAATTAAACATCATATGAGATCATAAATATATTAATAATTTCACTGTTTTTATATAATAAGAATGTATATTTTATTTGTGCTTCCATTTTAACTTGTTCATGCAAATGTGCAAATAGCATCCAAAAAGTAAGCGTTTTATTCCTGGCCAAATTTTAATTGTTCACATATATGACTTTAATATTCGGCCTTCAATTTAGTAGAATAACGAATAACCGAGGTCCATTTTTATTCATAATATATACATCTTATATACATCGAAACTATAAATAATTATACACACATCTTATGTACATAACATACAACATACACACAACAACATAAAACATCCTATCACCATGCGTCGCAAGTGATTTTTTGGCATCTTTTTTATTAATTTTTTCATTACTAAACTTTATATATATATATATATAGAGAGAGAGAGAAAGAGAGAGGGAGAGAAAGAGAAAAAAAATTTTTATATAAACCGTTAACATGTCGTTTGAATTGCATTTATTATTCACATACACAGGGCTCCTTCCAACAGCTATGGATCTCAAAACAAGAGTACGAAGAAAGTGGAAGAAATTGTGTTGATAAAAAATGTCCTTAAACATTTTTAAAAGTCAATTAATATTACTAGAAACAGTAATGTAGTGATGGGAAGAGCAAGTTGTGATGTAATGAGATGATATGTCGTTTGTATGAATGTATGTAGAATGACCTTGACACATTTGTTTGATACTGATGACAATGGTGAAGTATTTGGGCATTGTGTTAACGTTAATATTTTTATATATGATACATACAATACACACACTGGAACAATTTCGAACTTTCATTCATGTTTTTGCATCACATTTGAAATCTTTTTTATGACTCGGTATAATAAATTTGCATCAACGTTTTGTATTTTTGTTCATTCTTAATTTTAGTCTTTCCATCAGAGGAAGGATGGAAGAGTCAACATCGTTTTCATTTTTTGCATTGGGAGTAGAAGATGTTGTCGGAGAATAACGGCTGGCATAACATTTCTCATGTTGCAGGCTATTAACGTCTTTTGGTATAACGTGACTGATGAACTTGCAGAGCTCCTCCTGGTCAGTTTCAAACTTGTCTATCTCACCAAATGTGCACGTTTTAACAGGAGAACGTAAAAATGAATTGAAATGCCTTCGTGGAGAAGCTAGCGGAGGAAAAATTAATTGAGAGTGATTCAGTTGTTCTTGAATATAGGAAGCGTATGCGAGAGATAGATTGGCTTCATCATCACAGAAATTCATAACTGACGCGTCAATGTTGAAGTTGCCAACATCACATTCATAATTTAAATGACCACCTTGCTTAGATAGAACGATGGAATCGAAATTGAAATTGTGGTCATCGTCATCACTGTCTCTCTTCAGACTGTTTTTCTTATGAGATAGCTCGTGTAGGCTTACTTTTTCATCATCTTCAAATGATATATCATAGGATGAAACATCAACGTAATAATCGCTGTCCTCATCTTCATCATTGCTGCTTTTTTCAACAGTCTTTTTTAAATCATAGCTATCACAACTCATCATGGCTTTCTGCATGTAACATTCATCTTTTCTTTTATCTTCATCGTCATCGCCATTCACTAATGACGAAAGCTCGGTGTTGTTTTGTGAAGTATTTGACGTTTTATTGAAGCATTGTTTTTGAATATTTTCTGCATGCTTATCATCACTTTTCATCCCTTTCAACTTCAATCTTTCCTTCAGAGGTAATAGGCTTATGCTATCAAGCATTTCTATGCAGTCATCAGACTTTGAAGGACCCGTCCCATTATTTGCAATGTTGTTGTTTCTTACATTTTTATGCGTCAGGTCATCACACTTTGATTGACCTGTGCCAATATTTTCAATATTGATGTTCCTTACGTTTTCTTTGACAGCTGCGGCCACAATGCGACCATCATCGTCGTCGTCAGAATCGCTCAGTAGTAGCACTTGATGCAACCTCTTCATCATCTCCTTTGTCTTCAACCTCCACTCACTTTTTCCCATGCCCACAGATCTGGATCTTCGTCGACTTCCACTTTGCATTGAGTAACTTTGCACTGCACATGTTGGGACAGGGAGTTCGTGCTCTGCATTTTTAACAGCAGCTCCGAGTGCCGAATGTTTTGTGCGCTTAACATTTGATTCAGTAACTAAATTATCTCCAATATTGTTCTGATGTGATTTAGTTGGGCGTCCATGACAGTCACCAGAACTGGCGTCCTTAGTCGCCCTAACTTCATTCGATTTTGTATTCACGGCTTTCTTTTGGGCTGAAAAATAAAATTAAATGCGCAAAAGCATTAACGGTTTATTTAAAGGAAAATATTTAAAAAGAGTAAACGAAATAAATTTTATAAGTTTACTTTTAGTGTTGGGATTCAATTTCATTTGGCCAAAGTCTTCTACGATATCAGGAAACGCTTTTTCAAAAATATTTTGATCTTCAAAAGTTGTGTAATAATCAGCTTGAGTGAAGTTGTCTCCCTCTTGAAAATATTTTCAAAAACAGGCAAACATCAACAAATATGCATAAATGATATCTACAATTTTCGAGGATAGATATGCATAAATGTGATCTAAATGGGAAAAGAGATAAAACAGCTTGTCATTATTTCCTTATTAAGTAAGTAAGGCTTTTATCTTTTGGGGCAACCATTCAGCAAACAGCAAGTTAAAAATTTATTTTATTCACGCTGCTCGATATAGCACAGAAGTTGCTTTGAATACTTCAACGTTTTAACCTGTTCTCGAATTTGTAACAAATTTTTATGTAAATCGTAGCACAAACCTATCTTACTCCACTGGACTTCGTAACACTGTCCTCCTTGTCGAATTCTTTGCTTCACAATTCTGCAAATTATTTTTCAGTCGTTGTTGCAATGTGTTCACCAAAAATTGTGCAAAGTGATATCTTGATGTTTCAACCATATAAGAAGGCAGAAAAGCATGAAACTGACTTAGAGGGCTTCATTATGCATCCATCAGATTGTTGGCATTTGATGATACATCTCATGTCGTGCAGTGTCATCAGTGGAACCATCTTACTCATCGAGTAGTCCTCGGGCCATTCCATCTTCATTAACGCGAAATCCTTTGTACAATTTAATGAAAGTTGAAAAAATTGTTGAAACATAATAAATACTGAAAATAAGAATTTTAGTTACGGCAAATTTGAACGGGTTAGGCGTTCTCCACTTCCTGTTGAATTTTGGAATTTTGTCTTTGATGATCATATATTCTGAGATGACCTAGAAAAAATTAAATTTATAAATACATCAACGTTTACAATAATTTCTTGTCAAGTATTTTAATTACATCGTTGAATGGAAACCCTGGAGTTGTTGTTGCTTTCCTACAAACCATCGCCTCATAACCATCTGCTCAGTGAAACAATTGAAAAAATTATCTCCACTATTTAAAATATCAAAAAAAATTTATGAAAAACAAAAATTTCATGAATTTAATAGTTTTTCAATTGTACATATTTTCATATGTAACGAATAACAAACAAGCGTGCAAGCGTCCAAGAAATAAACAGATAAAAAACATAACAAACCCAAGAATGCTAATGATGATAATGGTCCTTGCCAAATTTTAAACCTGAAAAAAAATGATTGCTTTGTTTTACAAAACATTTGAATGAAAGTGTTTAAACATTTTCATAAAATTGTTTTCTAACATATTATTATAATAATAAGGTAAAAAATAAAAAAGTAAACTACACATCATGAAGGAGTATCTAAGAATGATTGAGAACCAACAATTAATATACAAAACAAATGCATTGGATTATTTCTAATCATCATTCTAAGACACACAAGTTGGTTCGTAATAGAACACAAAATGGTACTAAAATGAATCCTAAAACTGAGAAGATGCTCAGTGTCAACCTTTCTAAAAGTGAGCAGCCATTTAAATTTTTGATGAAGTTTTTCACCAGTCCTTTGCCACATCCACCAACACCTTTCGGGAGATAATCACATCCACATAAAATCGCTAAGCCAACTAAAGATTCTCTGTTGAGTCCAAGATCTCTCTCTACATCATCCATATTGTAGGCCTCAACATGAGGGTCCTAATTCAGTTTTGTAGGATAAATTATAAATAGATATACAGCCTCATTGATACAGACTTTAGAATTTGTGTATGCACCTAACATTGTAATAAAGCAAACAACCTTTTGATTGATGGTGAAATGTCTAAAAACCATTCTGGCGCCATACAAAAACGCATCACCATCATTTGTGATGCACCCATCAACAACCTGCATGTGCAATGTAATATTTTTATTATCGATGTGTTGAAATGTAGAAATACGAGATTTACCCCTTCCTGATTCAGATAGGCACACATGGCTTCTGCTTCACCAGCAGCTTGAACATAAGGAAGTCCCATGCACTCCAGCAGCTGACAGCACTATGAAACCAGTTTTCATTAGTAGTTTAATTATTTGTTATATTATTACATAACTTGCATTTTGTTTTAAGCAAGCATTTGGAGGAGCTATTTCACTTAACAAAATCAAAAGTTTTTCGAGCAGCTTTTGATTTTTGTTGGGATGGTTCAAGGAATTTCAATCAGTTATAGCCCTGTCATATATCATATTTTTCCATTATACAAGAACCCAATTGATAACCCATTTGTTTTTAGAATAAATTAATTTCAGACATCTTTTTTTATAAAAAACATATTTATCTCTCTTCTAAATATCTTTGTTCATTGAATTAAAAAAAACACTTATAATTGTTTAATGAAACAATCAGGTATATGGATACCTGTAAAAAATTGAAATTTAAAGTTACTGTACCTCTCTGTGAAGGGCATTGAAATGTGATCTTTTGATGGAGCCAATCTTATCGGGTTGACCCAGGCGGTTTTTCATAACTTGTTGTTTCAAGTTGGGAGGTATGCCTTCAATGACAATCAACGGTATTATGCCAATTTGTAGCAGGTGAATAACTCGAAAGAACAAATGCCTGTAGTGTAGTAATAAGATAATGACCACATATATAGTCATAACTATTTGCACTAACCAGTTACTACCCCAAATGAAACAATACTATCAGAGTGATATCCTTTTTATCATAATTCAGTTTTATTAACAATAAGTCTTAAATGGAGCATGCAAAAACCAAAATTGATACAATATTGCGCAAAATATTTATGCACATCTGTATTTTTATTTTATTATATTAATTAACTTGAAAATTTTAGAACAATTACTCATGTTAATTAAATGAAACCATTAATAAACTATCATTGAAAGAGCTTTATTTTTTTATTGTATCGTAAACATTCACAATTGTAAAAAATAAACAATTAGTTAATTAATTACAAAATAAATTAAACGTTCTATCATCATATCACACAGACTCACTAACTAATCATAACATTTACTTTTTAAAATAATCTTCATTAAAATTAATTATAATATAATAATAATTTACGACTAATACATGAACCTCAAGTGCGGTTTAGTTATGGATTTGGGTAAATGGTTTTGAGCTTCCACAATCCAGATGCTCAGGTCGACAGCAATCATCTGACCGTGCAAACTTTCCAGGGGCATGTGTCTCTTCACCGGAGCCAGAATGCTCCAGAGATGTTTTACCCCCATGCTCGTTTTTATTTTGCTTTTAACTTAACAGTTTTTGAAAAATAATTAAATTGAATATTGTCTATCAAATCAACGAAACATTTTTATTTTTAAAAGTTGACGCTATTAAATTACGCCAAATCAGCTGTTCTTAGTTAGGTTTTAAAATTGGCAGACTATTGAAATTAGTTGGAAATTTTGTTATGGAAAACTGTTATTGGAAAACCAACCCCATGCAAATGAATATTGAAATACAGTTATTTTTACGCTTTCGTGACCGGAGAATGTTCGAAATAAAACATGTTTTATTTTACAATAAACTTCATTATTATGCGCATCTAAAAATTACTTTATCTTCGTTAGCAAATCTTTAAAAACATTAACTGATTGTATTATCAATCAGTCTCACACATTGAGATATTGCTACTATATAGGTAATTGGAATAATGGCTTATATCTCAATGACCTCACATGAATTTGTGTGGGGGGGGGGGGTTGGACCCGAGGCAGAACATTTTTTTTCATGTGAATGTGTAACAATTAATTTAACAAACGTTAGTTGGATATTACGTTAGATATTAGTTAGTCTCAGCTCCATAAAATTTCCCACAGACATTTTGTCATCGGCCGCTCAAAGAACATTTGCTTAAACACGTTTCATTTGCTTAAATGAAAATTATATTCATTGTTTCTATGAAATTTGTTGAAAAGTTATATGAAAGAAATAAATTCATACGGAAACTACTACTTTAAAAGCCAATGAGTTTAGTTTTTTTTTGTTAATATTATAATAAATTACACCTTCTCGAGGCGGATCTCGACAACGTTGACGAGGGTCTGAAATTTGACGGGGTCCAAAAACTGCCAAAGTTTTTTTTAGTTTAACCCGTGTAACCAAAATTTGGCTGGCGACTTCCTACTTGAAACGTTATTTTCATTTATGTAAAACCTGGATTTTATAGAATTTTAATAAAAAAATATACGGGTCTAATACTAATCCTGGTCTCTCCATCCGCCAATGTGGGCAACCGCTTCAAGAAACTATCTTCTTTCCAGCCTTGGCCAAAGTTGTTTGGAGAATTTTTGTAGTTAATAACTCTTAAAAATAGTTTTTTAAAAAATAAGAATTGCTTGTGATGCTTCTAAATTAGTTACAATTAAAGTGCGTAAACGTGTTCATGTGAAATGTATGCATGCGTTTGTGTTAGTGTTTTGTGTGTGTGTAAGGTGTATGTGTGTGCACAATGGGTTTGTGAAATGTGTGTGTGAAATGTGAGTGTCTTCTGTGCCGTGAACAGCGTCTGATTCTGCAGAACACCTCGATGGATAGTACATCACGCACGCAAAAGCAAAGCCTAGTTTAGGCTCAATGCGTTTGATAATCTTTAAAATTTTTAAATTAAAACTCGAATTATATCATTGCTGGTTATAATGAAAAAATTACAAATTAAAGTTATGAATCACGATTGACTAAAATAACAGCGATCTGTTTATTGCAATAACGAATGTTCACTACAATTTCTGCAAACGAATCTTGTGACGACCAAACTGTTCGAACTGATTTGCCAAATTTTGAAATGCGTGATGAGAAATTTTTTTGGAGGACTGCAACAAAAATAATTATCAGTTCTAAAAATAAAAAATGAATAAAAAATTCATTCGTGGTTTGTATGAATAACCAAGAACAATGATAAAATTTTAAACAAAAATAAATACCTACTTTAAATTCAAGCAATCTCATTTCATGCACGATTTACGCTGACATACACAAGAAACACGCGCTTACAAACGCTCACACACACAAACACTAACACACACAGACACAAACACACGCAGACACACACACACACACACAACCTCATACACAACCTCATACACAACCTCATACACACAACCTCAAACACACAACCTCAAACACACAACCTCAAACACACAACCTCAAACACACAACCTCAAACACACAACCTCAAACACACAATCTCAAACACTCAACCTCAAACACACAACCTCAAACACACAACCTCAAACACACAACCTCAAACACACAACTTCAAACACACGACCTCAAACACACAACCTCAAACACACGACCTCAAACACACAACCTCAAACACACAACCTCAAACACACAACCTCAAACACACAACCTCAAACACACAACCTCAAACACACAACCTCAAACACACAACTTCAAACACACGACCTCAAACACACAACCTCAAACACACAACCTCAAACACACAATCTCAAACACACAACCTCAAACACACAACCTCAAACACACAACCTCAAACACACAACCTCAAACACACAACCTCAAACACACAACCTCAAACACACAACCTCAAACACACAACCTCAAACACACAACCTCAAACACACAACCTCAAACACACAACCTCAAACACACAACCTCAAACACACAATCTCAAACACACAACCTCAAACACACAACCTCAAACACACGGTACTTGCTCAGAAAGTTATTACGAACGATGAGAAGGCAAGCATGATGATAAGCATATAAAAAGATGCTTCATATAAAGTAGAAATCTGTATAACTTTTATAAGAAGTGCTTAACATTTCCATATATTGCGAAGACGTAAAGTTCATTATATATATATATATATATATATATATATATATATATAAATATTGGACGCATATATATATTATATATATATATATGCGTGTGTGATGTGTGAGTATTTTGTTGTATAAATATATATATATATATATATATATATATATTAATATATATATATATATATATATATATATATATATATATATATATATGACAGGAATGGTACTAAATGAATGATCTCCAAGCGTAATGGTGTAAATGATGTGAAAGACTGAATATTCAACGAAGCAGACCAGTTTTCAATGAAAACAATTTTTATAAGAACGGAAAGTTAGTGGTTGGTTTTTTCCTGTGTTCCCATATAACAATAACGAAGCTATTTAACATGCATGAATAAATATTTCAGCAAATGAATATTAACGATCGTGGAGATGCGTGAGTCACGTTGTTACCAGCCTGCTGATGTGCGCTTCTGAATGGAGTTTTCTGGAAGCTGTACAAACATTAACACCATCATTAATAATAATTAAATTGGTGTAGGAAACAAATACGAAAATAAATGAATATTTAAAACAATAATAATCGCATAAAACGGTTTTTACGGGTTCCTTATGAATATTCATAAGAAAGCTTACAGCATCTATGTGCGAAACTTCATTTTGAAATTCGTTCTGTATATGTTTATATATGAATATGTGTAATATGTTTAGCGTCGAAAGGATGCTAATTATATAGAAACGTGTGTATGTGTGTGAGTGTGTGCGTGTTTTATAATGCATTGAGTTAATTTGTTTTCTTCAAACTCCATATATAAACAGCCAGCCAGGTCGTGATAAATGTTTGGCGTTGAATGAAGTTAGAGGATTATTTAAATAAAGTATCGATTGGTTTCTAAAATATTTGCACGATTTTGTTGCGAATTCAAAAGAGAGAAGGATTTCTAACATTTTAGCTCATGGTTAATTTTTTTTATTTTTCTTTTTAGCAACATATAATTTATAATAAATTTTATGTAATATCATGTCTCTATTGCTTCGTTAAAAATTCTTTTGAATGAAATATGATTTTTTTATCGTTAAAGATAATATAAGCCCATTGTTAAATAATGAATCAGAAAAGAATTTGGCATAAAGTTTGATTTCATTTCGTGGTGGATAGTTGCACTTTTAAACACAAATGTTGATGTTGTGGTGAAGATAATTATATTGATGATGATGACGACGATGATGATCGTGGTGACGATGATGATGATGGTGGTGTTTGAAAATGGTCACCATTAAGATTACGCATACAATGTTAAAAGTAGATGATGTTAAAACATTTGTAACATCACAATGCACGCAACCATCACATAAATTATTTTTTGTATGTTGATGCAATTTTTACAATATTAATAAATTAATATTTTATTACCATTTTAATTGTTTGAACCGTGAGAGCTTAAAACTTCCCATCAAACTTGAGACTGCGAGCAGTGGAGATAGAGCGGGGAATGCCTGAATGCGAGGAATGAACGAATGAGCGAATGAACGAACGAACGAACGAATGAATGAAGGAATGAATGAAGGAACGAAGGAACAAACGAAAGAACGAATGTAAATCATGTGAATCATCAATAATCATGTAAATCAAAAACCGTACCGCTGACCGTCAATAGTTTGTATGATGAAGTCAGAAGGAACATGTAATCTTTAATTACTCTGAAGTATTTCATGCCGGCCGTTTCGAGTTGTTCGTGGCGCGCATTGCGTGGCGACAAGATCGTACTTGCGCGAGACGAGCTAAAAAATAGGGCATGTGATTATTTGACGTATGTACGGTATGTGATTTTAGCACTTATTCACTTTCAAGCATTGCGCATTAATTCACACACATTCATTCATTATGCATTGTTAAGTCGATGTAATCGTAACCCAGTATGTCAGTGATGTTATGTAATTATTCGGAGAGCATTAAATGCACATGCATGAATTCAGTCTTGATAAATATTTATAAAACCATGCACATGCACAACACACATTTATATGCACGTACGCTCACAGGCAACACAAAGGCAAAAGGCACACAAGCACTTACGCGGGTGCACTGCACACACGTCCTCTTATATCCCTCAATCACTCTTAATGGTTTCTTTTCAAAGTATTGAAGAATGGTTGATCATGCGAGAAACTGCTTGATTGAGTCGACGAGATGCGTGCCAGACCGCGGCCACTCGGAGCGACAACAACTCGATAAAGCCGCTTAACGCGTCACCGGCCGCAAAGAAAACGCAGGCATGCGCGCGAAAATAATCAAATGGATGAACTGCCAATGTAGGAATATGCCTTCACTTTTAAACTACTTCCTGATAAAAATTTTGCAGGTTTAAGCAAGAGGCTTAGGCAAGGCATGTATATGATGCACAAACAAACAAACATGCACAAGAAGTCTAAA